TATTTATCAAATGTCTCCTGAAGAATGTATAACCCAGGTGGACCACCGCGTCCCCCGTCCACTCTCTCATTTACTCTGCATCTGTTTATAAACATGAGAGCCAGTCGTCGCTCTGTCTGCTTCGTCATGACGTCACGTGAGAGGTGCTGCGTCGCTGCTGCGTCGCTGCTGCGTCGCTGCTGCGTCGCTGCTGTGTCGCTGCCTCTGAAGCAATAACTGTAGTAGTATCCTGTCGTGTGTGACGTGTTTTCGTTTTTCTGTTTTCAGCCCTTCCAGGTTGTTTTGGCTGCGACCACAGACCCGGACAAGAAGCAGATGCTGGAGAGGCTGGACGCCGCCGTCACCGCCGCTCTGAAGCCCCTGCAGGCAGCGATGGAGAGCGGCAACGAGGCGGTCCAGCCTCTGGCCCAGGTCAGACTGAGCAGTCTTCGTTTCGTCTAAATCGAAAAGTTTCAGTGTGAAATTATTTGGCTTTTAAATGATTATTTATATTTCCTGTCAGTTTAAAACAAGGCATTAAAATAAAGAATATAATATTTATAAATTGAAGGTAAAGTTACTGAGTCCAAAATAACATAAGCTGCTTTCAGGGCTGCAATGAACTCCAGAGAATCTCCTGAAATCTACTGTAGTGACCGTATGTGAGAACACAACTGTCCGAGTCAGCTGCTGTGGACATTCTCCAGAGTTTCTCCTGCCCTGAGTAACAACTCCGGATAATGTCCGAGTCCCTGTGAGAAAACCACAGGAGATTCTCAGGAGGATTCACATGTCGATGATGTTTCTAACACGTAATGGACACAAAACCATAAAAAAAAACAAAAAGAATATAAATATCTCAGGATGAAGTAGAAAAGGGCAAAAGCTGGAAAAATTTCATATCTGAAAACTTCTTCATTTCTTCCGCAGGCCCTGTTGGAGAGTTCCAAAGACCTGCTGTCTGATTGGTTGGACAAACAGTTTGGAAGTGAAGTCACAGAGAACTCGATCTTCTCCATTCTCCCCAAATACTGGGAGGGAGAATACCACAAAGACATGGAAGCTCTGAACGTAAGTGGAAGTGAAGACTGCTCAGACAGAGAGGAGTGAGGTCGTGCATGATGCAGTTTTAAAATGTCTTGTGTCGTCACTGATCATAACGTCTCTGGGTTTGTCTCCCTCCAGGTTCTCCCCCCTGATGTCCTCACTCGTGTCAGCGAGTACGTTCCTGAGATCGTGGAGTTTGTGAAGAAGATCGTCTCGAACGGTTACGGGTGAGGAAGAGAGAGATGTCGCGGTCGGAACAAATTCTTCATCGCAGCCGCTTTGTTTCGAATGATTTGGTTTTTTGTGATGTTTTCAGATATGAATCGAACGGGTCCGTGTACTTCGACACCTCCAAGTTTGATGCCAGTCAGCAGCACTCGTACGCCAAACTGGTGCCAGAGGCAGTCGGAGATCAGAAAGCTTTGCAAGAGGGAGAAGGTACATTCACACGGTTTATTTGATTCATTTTAAAATGTAATCTGTCGTGTAAAGGTTAGAATCGGTCTGGTCGTCTCCTCCTCCTCTGTCTTATGGGGAAACTATGACAGTCCAGGAAATGTCCATTGACACACAGACATTTAGAAACGAAGGATCCAGGTGGAAAAATATTAGAATTCATCTTCAGTTCAAACTCTAATGTTTAGAAATGTAAGAATTAAAGACACGTATTTATTTTTGTTAAAAGAGAGATTACACCATCTAGAGTATACTTTTGTTTTTGCTTTTACTCCATTAATCTCCTGTCGTCTTCGATATCGTTCAAATGTAAATGCTGAAGATGGATTCATTGTTTTATCTTTTCATCACTAAGGTCAGAGTCTCGTTGATCACGTCTTATTTCTTCATCCTGTCCGACAGGTGACCTGAGCATCTCCGCTGACAGACTGAGTGAGAAAAAGTCCCAAAACGACTTCGCCTTGTGGAAAGCCTCCAAACCAGGAGAGCCGTCCTGGGACTCTCCCTGGGGGAAGGTGAGAGTTCAGAGACGGTAACGTTAGACACCAAGAGGATGTTGTGTTCATCTGTAGTTTGAAGAACAACAAGCAGCAGCATGGATTAGTTCTCATCCAGTAACAACATCAGGGAGCTCATTGAACTCATTTAAGAGGAAGGTTTTTAGTGAACAAGAGCAGGAGAGGACTGGAATCTGTGGAGTGTTGGAGCAGCAGGATGTAACAAATAAAGATCACTGCAGAGATCACATGGTTTTGTTCACAGCACTTCGACACTGTCACCGGCTCTTATCACCGAAAACATGTTAACGTCTTTGTCTGGGAAAGTTTATCAAAAATCATTTTGTTCTTTTGGACGTTGCCACAGGGACGACCCGGCTGGCACATCGAGTGTTCGGCCATGGCCGGTTCTGTCTTGGGAGAGTCCATGGACATCCACGGTGGAGGATTCGATCTGCGATTCCCTCATCACGACAACGAGCTCGCTCAGTCCGAGGTGCAAAAATCCCTGTCTCTCTAAAGCCATGTCCTCGAGAGGAGAAAGTGAAACACAGACGCTGATGTTTGTTGGTTACCTCGCTCGCAGGCTTACTTTGATAACGACTGCTGGGTGCGATACTTCCTGCACACCGGACACCTGACGATCGCAGGCTGCAAGATGTCCAAGTCCCTGAAGAACTTCATCACCATCAAGGACGCGTTGGCAAAGAACTCAGGTGATTCACCTGGTTCTGTCGTTAATATTTTAAATTTGTAATAAAGAAGATATACAGAAGCACACTTGACTCTCACCTGAACACGGTCACGCTCCTCTGAAGAGTGAACACTCGATAACAAGCAGATGTTTTGTTGCTGTCAGATAAATGTCTGCTCCTCCTCCTGCAGCGCGACAGCTCCGCCTGGCTTTCTTGATGCATTCCTGGAAAGATACGCTGGACTACTCCTCCAACACCATGGAGTCGGCCGTCCAGTACGAGAAGTTCATGAATGTAGGTGAATTCAAGCTCCTGTTCAGGCCTGGTGCTAACATCCATGTTCCTCTTGTCTCTTTATGTTGGAGAACAGGATCTTTGGAATGAATTTCACTAAAAACTCAAATAGCTCCTGCTTGTGCTCAAGTTTCCAGCTTCAGCTCGTCTCCTCTTCTGTTACTTGAAGCAGAGTCACGCTCACCGCCGCTCTCCACGGCTTTGTTATTATTATTTCTCATTAGAAGTAAAGCTAATCACAACGAGGGCGGGACAGTTTCGTTTGTCATCACTACGTCGTTCTATTGGTTGCACAAAGACGTCCAAGAGAAAAATGAAAAAACCACAGAGCAAACTTTTCAGACGAGCACAGAAGGAAGGAGAAGAGCTGAAGCTGCAGCACAGGTAATCTGTTCTGTGAGTGCAAGTTCACTGTTTGAGCTGAAGCAGAGGCTCTTGAATAAAGAGAAAAAGCCCATAAATCCATCTCTGGGTTGCGATCAGATCCCCAGAGACAGATCAGGTCTGTACTGGACACATGGACGCTTGAGTTTAGACTTAATCCTGAGACGTGTCGCTGTTTTTTATTGATCTTCGTCTTCACCCTCGTCTTTAACAGGAGTTCTTCCTCAATGTCAAAGATTCGCTCCGCGCTCCGACTGACATCACCGGTCAGTTCGAGAAGTGGGAGGCAGCAGAGATGGAGCTCAACAACAGGTGAGCGAGCAAAGATCCGGAGCGACGATCTCCAATATGAGCAGAGAAATCTCTTCTAGAGCTTTTCTACATCGTTTAAACGTTTTAATCAAGTTAACAGTGCATTTCAATCGGTCGCCTGTTGGTGGCGTCATATCCTCTTTGTGCACGTGTCAGTGTTTGTTTGTCGAAGAGTCAAAAGTGATTTTATCCAGTTTGAAGTCACATTTCAGAGACGAGTCAGAGAAACGCTTAGTTTAACAGTTTTATTCACTGTTTTTACTGGAGTGAATCAGCTGACTGCACTAAAGACTACAACTCCCATCATCCCACGCTGCTTGACCACGTCTCAAACTGATGCAGATGAACGTTCGAATGAACTCGTGGAAATTCACCTGCGCACAGTTAATCCAGTCAGAAACCAGTTTGAGACTGAAATCGATGCTCACTTGTGTTGTCCAGTTTCTACGACAGGAAGTCGGCCGTCCACAAGGCTCTGTGCGACAACATGGACACCCGCGCGGCCATGGAGGAGATGAGAGTGCTGGTCAACCAGAGCAACAGCTACATGGCCAGCAGGAAGAGCGCCAAGCTGCGGCCCAACCGCCTGCTGGTGCAGAGCGTCGCTGTGTATCTCACCGACATGCTGAAGGTGAGCGCCTCAATCTGTCTCCACCCGATGAACGTCAGGAGCACAACCCTGAAAACCAGCCACCTCCTCTGCTGACGCTCCTGCTCATCAAGTGCTCTGCTCTGTGTTGATGAGTGTGTTGTCGTTTAGATATTCGGAACAATTGAAGGATCCGATCCCGTCGGTTTCCCTGTGGGAGGACAAGGTCAGAGTGTTGACGTAAGTAAAGAGACGCTGTTTTGACTCTTCACTGTTGAGTCGGTTTGATTATTTCCTGCTCGTTCACCAGATGACTTCACGTTTGGGTGTTTTTTAATCTGAGGTCTTGCTGCTGCTGTTTTCCAGCTGGAGAGCACGGTGATGCCGTTCCTCTCGGTGCTGTCGGATTTCAGGGAGCAGGTCAGAAAAATCGCCAGAGAGCAGAAAGGTCAGAACTTGAGAGTTTGAAATTTAAAAGTTCCTCTTCATCTCCTGAAACCTGAGCTCAGTATCAAATGAAAGAAGTTGGGATCATTCGACTATTAAAGCTCTTTTATTGAAAATGTTTTTCAGTAACGGAGCTGCTGCAGCTCTGCGACACGGTGCGTGACGATACGTTACCGGAGCTCGGAGTGCGACTGGAAGATCATGAAGGTACCTTCAATATTCTAAAACAAAAACAAACCTTAATAATTTGTTTCATATTTAGTTCAAGTTAAAAACAAAGAAGCAGAATCAATAGAGTTCTAACGGCGGCTGTGACTCAACAGTAACTGTAAGTCTGTCACAGGTTTGCCAACTGTGGTGAAACTGGTGGACAAGGAGACATTACTGAAGGAGAAGGAGGAGAAGAAGAAGGTAAGAGACGAGCAGAGTCACATTAATGAATCTCCACATTATCCAGAGCGGCTGGAGTCTCACCTCTGACCTTCTGTGAACCTGAAACTCAACCCAGATTTTTAAAAACAGAGGAAGAGACATCTGATAACCTGTGAGGCGCAGTCATCCAGTCAATGACAGAAGGAAACAAAGGTGACACTAATCCAGCGAGTGTCACGAAGGACGGAGACAAACTCACTCAGATAAACCAGGTGGATTAAGTGACAGACAGATTCCTGCTCCAACGACACAATGACAACGACATCAGAGAAAATGAAAGTATGATAAGATAAGATAAGAGATTCTTGACGACATTCCCACGACTTCATGAAGCGTTCCTCGATTATTATCATTTCAAATCATGTTTCCAGATTCACAGCAGAAATCTCAGTCAGAAGGGAACAACCTCGGAGGTGCGGCCGAAACACCCAACGTGTCATTTCAAGTTCATTCTTTGAACCGAGGTTTTCTTCTTTCACAGATGGAAGAAGAGAAGAAGAAGAAGAAGGAGGAAGCTGCCAGAAAGAAACAGGAGCAAGAGGTCAGGTGGTCCCGTGTAAAACCTCTCATTCATATTTCCCTCATCAGCCTCATGTGATCGAGGTGCGATGAATCCAGTCAGGAAGCTAATGTGTGTCTGAGGTCGTGAGGACGCCAGGCGTAACCATAGCGATGTTCCTCCGGTTGTTCTGTCGGAATCCAGTGAGTCACACGTCACTAACTCGCTGCTTCCACTGTTTCAGATGGCGAAACTCGCCAAGATGAAGATCCCTCCGTGTGAAATGTTTCGCACAGAAACTGACAAATATTCCAAGTTTGATGAAACGGTAAATCTCACGTTCACATAAATACAGATTTTAGAAAACATGGTGACGATGCTCTCGTGGTGGATTGATATTTAAATTATTATTATTATTGTAATGTGAGTTCTTGCACCAGAGGCCGTTCAAGTGTCGTCAGAGTAATTCAATGATGTGATGAACGGACTTTGTCGTTGATGTGAACAGGGTTTCCCGACGCACGACGCAGAAGGGAAGGAGCTGAGCAAAGGTCAAGCTAAGAAGCTGCGTAAACTCTACGAGGCTCAGGAGAAGTTACACAGCGAGTTCCTGCAGATGAACAGAAACTGATCCGCTAGTGTTCGACCTCATAAATGATGTTTCTGTTCAAATCTGTCTCGAGGGAATTTCTTCACTTTGGACTCAAACATGAACTGATTGGATTTCAGAGGTCAAAGGTCACAGTGAGCTCATGAGACGCAGGCTGCTCTGGTGCAGACGTGCGACTGCAGGACGGTGACTTGAGTTAGTGACGGTTCTGTGAATAAAAAGTTCATCAAGCAGAGGTTTGATTTCTTCTGTGATCGTTTCAAAGATGTTGATGTTTGTTTGATTTGAATTTGGAATCAGGATTAAACTAACAAAAAGAAAAAATTAAACCCCTGAAAGCTCCAACGATCCGTCTGTTCCCTCGTCTCCTTTTGTCTGTTCACACTTTTCCACAGATTCATCAGGTTTTTTGTCGACGTGATTTTAGTTCAGTTCTCTGGAGACGATCTGCGGAGCGACGTTTGACTGTACCGACCGTTTTCAATAAAAATGTACCTGAAACTTCACAGAGGGACGAGACTTCTTCTGGAGAAACACGGAGTTTGTGGAATTAATGACGTGACTGATGTTTTGAAACTGAAGCTGAAGAACTGTTCAGATGTAAAGAAGTTTAAAATGACACCAACTGTTCTCAAGAGGAAATTTCTTCACAGAGATTCTCACATTTCACATATTTGGATTTGTTCTTACGTGAGAACAGAACTTTACTAACATGCTTGTGTCAAATACTCAGTCATTGTGTTTCTATATTATTTTATCATCTGAAATGTTTCAGTCAGTTGTCAGAATTAATTGGAGTGAACTTTTTATTCAGAAGCTGTAAAATATGAAACATCAGTGACTGTGTCCTCGTCCGTGTCCAAATATCCACAAACCTTATTAAAAATGATAAAATGTTTAAATCAAATCATAAAACTTCATGATTTCATGAAACAATAACCGATTGATCATTTAAAAAGATTCCCATGTTCCTATTTCATTTAATATTTACTAATCTTATTTTTGCAAATGTATTTATTTATTACTTTTCTACGGAACCTTCTGACTTTAACTTTTCACTTTGTTGTTTCACTTTCAAACTTACGAAGGATTTTCTTATTTGAGAGTTTAAGAT